TCAGCCCACCAGGGGACAGGGCTGGCTGGCATGTGGTGCTGGGGATTGAACCGCGGTCCCTGTGCTTTTGCTTAGCTTAGCTTGTTCTAAGTAGGTGCTTTTAGACCACTGAGCCATCTCACCAGCCCTATTAACATTATTTCTGACACTCAAATTGTCCAAAATTTGGCCAGTGGAAAGCCCATCTAGGAACCTTGTGTCTTTTTGAAGTGTACCTATTAGTGTTTGGTCACCTCCATACTTTTGAGAATAAGCTGTCCACACTTATCTGGTATCTTTGTAGCCAAAGGGTTGTAACAACTTTTCCCCCAAGGACTCCTGGTTTCTTTTATATGCAGAAGGAAGTTTAGAAACTGAGATCCAGGACTCAGTCTCCACTGGAATCATTTGTTTCTAGCTGAGTAGTTCTTAACTGGGAGCATACACTTGGCTTATGTGTATATTTGAAAATATACTTATCCAAGCACCTGGTAAATTAATTCATTCAGATCAAGGTGAGGACCTCGGCAGCCATAATATTTTGGAGACATATCAATGGGGATTCTGAATCACAGCTCTGTTGGTAGTCTTTGCCAAGCCGCAGAGAATACGGTTGTGGATAGATGGGTGCTTTTATTTACATTACATTTGCATTCCAGTCTTGCCTCATCCAGATTATTCTGAGATTTTTTTTCCCTCAGTACTGGAGACAACCCAGAGCCTTCATGGCGAGTTATATTTTCATCCTTTAATTTTTAAATTAAATTAGATTTTTTGGGGAGGGTACCGGGAATTGAACACAGGACCTTGTGCCTGCCTGGAAGGTGCTGTGCCACTGAGCCAATCCCTTTGTAAAAATTTTGAGACAGAATCTGACAAAGTTTCTTATGCTTGGTGCAAGCTTTCATTCCCTTTGTTGTATCCCCAGACCCAGCTATCTGAGATTGTTGATGAACATTTAGGATTGTCCCAGACTCTGCTACAGCAGAGTCCAAAAGTCTTTTGGTTTCCTCAAGCAGGTATCTAGCTACTTCCTTTTTGTGTGGCATTCACATAGGGACACTTTTTTTTGGCATTGGTGAGCATCCTTCTAGCGCCCCATTGTGTAGAGTCCCTAGTAGGCACACCATGTGCTCAGGACACCAGCCAAAGAGGTGCTTTGGACGGTGGAAGGGCCAGAAGCATTTAAACTTTGGCTTAAATCTCTCCACAGTTTTACACTTGGAAATTTCAGGAAGACTCTGGGAGCTGGGAGGATTACAAATTCAAGCCCAGCCTGGGCAATGTAGTGACTTAATGAGACCTTGTCTCAAAATTAAAACAAAAAGTTGAAAGGGCTGGGGATGTGGTTTAGTGTGGTAGCCCTGGGTTCAATTCCAGTACTGAGGGGTGAGGGTGGGGTTCAGGAAGAAGCTATTTTAATTTCAGCATAGATGTAAGTTTTAAGATTTACAGGTTTTTTTTTTTTTTTTTTTTTTTTTCCTTTTTGAGACAGGGTTACACTGTGTAGTTCAGGCTGGCGTCAGACTCACTTTGTAGCCCAGGGTGGCCTTGAACTCAGAGTGATCCTCCTGCCTCAGCCTCCCAAGGGCTGGGATTATAGATGTGAGGCACCATGTCTGGCTTACAGATTGTTTTCATTTTTATCATTTTTTTGTGCCAGGAAGACTAACTTAATCCTGCCAGGTAGCCAATGCTCTTCTCCCTTCTCAACAACAGATTTTTTTGGGGGGTGCTGGGACTTGAACTCGGAACCTCATGCTTACCAGCAAGTGCTGTGCCTCTGAGCAAAATCAGCCCCAACAACAGATTTTTGAATGTATAGTAATCAATTAACTTTGAAATCTTCAACTCATTTCTCCTATAAGCTGGTGATGATTACTTTCACAGGAACCCTAATTAACACAAGTTTTTATCTGTAAGAGAGGAAGTGCCAGATGTGGTGGTGCTTGCTCAACAGTGAGTTTGAGGTCAGCCTGGGCCACATAGTGAGTTGAAGGCCAGCCTAAACTGCATAGAGAGCCCTTGTTTCAAGAAAAAAGTGGGGGAGGGGGAGGAAGTCAAGCAGAGCAGTGATTCTTAATAATTTGGAGGAGGGATCCCACTTAATATCAGTGAAAGCTAAAGATCTCAGAAAAATCCACAGTTCTGGAAAAAAAAAAAAAAAGATCTCAGAAAAATTCACAAAAACATTATCACAGATGTTCCTTTCCGTCTTAGAGGGTCCATGGTACCCTAGGAGCCAGGTTAAGAGACCCAGCCGAGAGCCTAAGTGAGCTGACCATTCTTCTGCCCACCAGATGGAAGCTCAGAATGTCTGAGCTCCGTAGAGCAGATGGAGTCCGAGGACATGCTGAGTGCCCCAGGCTGGAGCAGAGAAGACAGACTGCGGCAGAGCTCCCGAGCTGCAGACGGCGCCTTCCCCGCGCTGTCCCCCATGGTCGTCATGAAAAACGTGCTGGTCAAGCAGGTGAGGAGGACGAATGTGGCCCAGTGTCTCTGCAGGTGAAAGTTGCTGAGCTTCCTGTGTATAAGCTCTCCCTCTGCTAAAAGAGGGTTCACAAATAGATCCAAGAACCACACCTGTGCATATTTTCTTTTTCTTTTTTTTTTGCGGAACCGGGGATTGAACTCAGGCCCTTGTGCTTTAGTGCATATTTTCTATTTTAGGGAAAGATTAGTACCTTTCAACAGCTGAGACTTTCAGCCAAAAAGAAGTAGGGGTGCTGGGGGCATAGCTCGATGATGGAGTACTTGCCTAGGGTGCATGAGACCCTGGGCTCCATTCCCCACACCCCTCCTCCAAAAGCGTACAGTCACCATAATATGCCTTCATTTTTGAGACTTTTTTTTTCCATATTCATGGTTTGTCCAAAGGGACCCTGAAATGCTTTAGCCATCTATGAAGGAGCCCAGCTGAAATGTCATTACTTTAATGGTGCATTCTAGTATACAGAAGAATTGAGGGTAGAAACTGAAGAATTTCTTTTTCATTTGAATTGCACTGGAAAGTTTAGATATGTACAACATTTGTTTCAGAGCATTTTCATGGTAATCAAGTCAAAAACGTCATCAGTGTCATGGTGGGAGCTTTTCAGCTTTACCAATGGAGTCTACACAGCTGGTTGCAGAATTGAAAAATACTTAGTTCTGGGCTTTGTTACATACCTGCATATTGTGTGATTAGTCTAGATATGAAAGATGATTTGGATGAAAACCTAAGCTCAAGTGTTTTAGAACTTAATTATATGGAAGTTAGAATAGACAAGCCCAAGAAATGGAAAAGATTGATTAAATTTAAAAACATTTAATCTTACATTATCTTAGCCTGAGTGTGTTACTGTTTGTGCATGGGTGCACAAACGAGGCTACTTAAAGATAGTAAAGTTTGAAATCCCACTTCAGTATTGACCTTCTCACTGGGTATCAGAGGTTAGAAGCTAGACAGGAATCCTAATGCCTAACCATAACCTGGTTATTTCTGAGGAACATAGACTTTCAACAACCTAGCCTGGTGAATTCTGAAGAAGAATTAGATTTTTCCTTGGTAAATCACAGCTCAGCTGGAACCTCAGCTCCCCTTATTGAAGAAAGAATAAAGACAGGAAATGGAGCCCAAATGAGATTGTCTCGGCCGCCAGTGCTACCTGGTGCTTCTGGGTGACCTTTCTCTCAGCTCTTTTCTCCCTGCCTCTTGCTCTGGCTCCCTTGCTACTCTTTCTTTTGTGGCTTGTTGATAAGCTTCCCGCTGGTCAGGGGCCCTAGGCAGCAGAACTGGTCTGGTATTCTCTGCCTAGCTGGATCTCACTCAGGTCTCTCGGTTGGAGCTGGACTGGCCTTCAAATGTTAGATAATAGCCTGAATCAGTACTTCTTTTTTTGAATCAGTACTTTAATTATAATAAAAATGTGTAATTGAGGAACAAAATAATGAAGGCAGTAGCTTTTAGTTAGGATGGTGGGTTTTTCTGTTGCTTTTTTTATGTATTTGGTACAGGGTCCCACTGTGCAGCTCGGATTTATAGTGATCCTCCTGTTTTCAGCTTCCTTGGCACTGTGGGGCGGGGCCTGCACAGCTTGGTGCTGGGGTTTTTGTGCTTTTGAAAGAGTCTCACTATGTACTGCAGGCTGGCCTTGAGCTCACTTTGTAACCCAAGCTGGCCTTGAACTCAAGGATCCTCCTGCCTCAGTTTCCCAAGTGCTGGGATTATAGGCATGTGCCACCATACCCCACTTAGGATGGGTTTTAAGGTCAGACAAGATGCGTTAGTCAGTAGCTTGGTGACTTGAAGCGAGGCATTTCAGCTGCCTCACTCTCAGTTTCTCCTTGTGAAGGGAAATGGTGATGCCTCATCAGGCTGTTCCAAGGCTACCTGCAGTAACCCATGGAGAGCGAGCGTTGCATGTGCACTAGCTGAGAGCACCGAAACCTGGCAGCTGTGACTCTTGAGAGTGGTTTGGTGGTGTTTCAGTGTCAGTACCTTAAAAACGGACCCACAGACTCCTGATAAGATAAACTTTTTGATCAAAAGCTGTTTTTATTTTTAATTAAGACATTACAAGCATAATTAAGATTTTTTTTTTTTTTTTTTTTTTTTTTTTTTCAGAGCAGGGATTGAGCTCAGGCCCTTGCACTTGCCAGGGAAGCACTTAATCCACTGAACCATCTCCCTGGCCCAGACGATAAATTTGGTGTAAAGTCACATTATAGTCTTAAGATTTGCCTGGAAATTGTACTATCTATATGTGTATTACCTGTTGTGATCTTAACTATATTGTTATTTAAAGTTGGGCATGGTAGTGAATGCCTGTAATACCAGCACTTAGGAGACAGGGGCAGGAAGATAGCAGCAAATTCCAGGCCAACCTGAACTATATATGGAGGCCCTGTCACAAAAAACAAAATGTATCTTTACTTCATCTACTTGTAGGGTTTTTTTTTTTTTCTGAGTGATAGAACTTGAATAAAAATAAGATATATCCTCAAATGTTTCCTTAAGAAAAGTTAAAAACAAGGTGTGGTGTCAGACCCAAATGGGTTGTCAAGCCACTTCCTCAGTCACACTCTGGACTGACAAGGGCTACCCTGATGCAGGTGAAGCACTGCCCTGGAGTCAGTGTGCGCCTGTGTGCGTGCTCTTTGGCCCCTGCTGGCAGCAGCCCTCCTCCATCCCGATTGAGCAGCTGCTTTCTTCTGTTGTTTGCAGGGCAGCAGCTCCTCGCAGCTCCAGTCATGGACTGTCCAGCCATCCTTTGAAGTGATCTCAGCGCAGCCACAGCTCTTCGTCCTTCATCCCCCTGTGCCATCTCCTGTCAGCCCATGTCACACCACTGAGAAAAAGTCAGACTCCAGAAACTACTTGCCCATTCTGAATTCTTATGCCAAAATAGCCCCACATCCAGGCAAAAGGGGCCTTTCCCTTGGCACGGAAGAAAGAGGAGCAAGCAGAACACAGAAGAAGGTCTGCACTGAGAGACTGGGCCCCGGCTTGTCTTCCAGCGAGCCGACCAAGACTGGCACCGTACCATCCAGACCCCCTACTCCAGCTCCACCCAGCGCCAAACTAGCCGAGGACTCCGCTCTGCAGGGTGTGCCCTCCCTGGTGGCAGGTGGAAGTCCACAGACACTCCAGCCCGTGTCCAGCAGCCACGTGGCGAAGGCGCCCAGCCTAACCTTCGCTTCCCCTGCCAGTCCCGTCTGCGCCTCTGACAGTACTCTGCACGGCTTGGAGAGCAGCTCTCCCCTTTCTCCACTGTCAGCCAATTATAGCTCGCCTCTGTGGGCTGCAGAGCGCCTCTGCCGCAGCCCAGATATCTTTTCTGAGCAGCGGCAGAACAAACACAGGCGCTTTCAGAATACTCTAGTTGTCCTGCACAAGTCCGGCTTGCTGGAGATCACCTTGAAAACCAAGGAGCTGATTCGTCAGAACCAGGCAACTCAGGTGGAACTAGACCAGCTGAAGGAGCAAACCCAGCTGTTTATAGAGGCCGCAAAGAGCAGGGCTCCTCAGGCCTGGGCCAAGCTGCAAGCGTCTCTCATGTCTGGGTCCAGTCGTCCTGGCAGTGATCCGGAAGCATATAGCACAGACCGCCCAGACATATAGCACAGAAGCATATTTTCCAGCCGTTTGCGTGGTCCTTCTAACTCTTCTTGCTGTTAAACCTCCACCCATTTCCCAAAGCCTCCGTAAGCACTTTTCCTTCAAAGCTCACTTCTGAGGCCACGTGCCAGCCCTTGCTGCCGTCTCCACCTGAGGTCTGTGCAGAGGTCATGTAGGTCTCCATTCCCGAGGACCTCTGACTCCAGTGTTCCCAAGTCCTTTTTCCTTAGCCTGTAGGCACTTTCTTGATCATGGGGCAGAGCAGGAAAGAAGATTGTGTGGGGCTCTTCTGTCACTTCCCACCATCCCATTTGTTAACTGGATTAAGGATGCAATAACATGGATGAGCAGACAGTGATACTTATCAAGCCAGGAGTAGGTAATGGGGGGATGCGTGCATAGATCTTCCTGTGAGGAGGCCTGTGCCAAGCAAGGCCTATCATGCTTTGGGCACAGGTCATGCCTGGGTGCAAACAGTTAATCACATACAGCTTTGTTTTGATAAGCTTGAAAGTCAAGGGAAAGGGTAGTACCATTTGAGTTGCACAATTTGATCACAAGCCAGATTTTATCTAGTCAAGTAGGCAAAATACTTCATATTTTAATGGTATGGATTGGATTCATTACCATCTGGAATTGTAGGTGGTGGATTATTATATTGATTGACAACCTAAAGGAAAAGTAGCAAATGCTAGCATCTCTTGGTTAGCAGATGGAGGGTTCTGGTAGCTCATACTTTCTTCAAACAATGAAAACATTTTTTGTCTGAAAAGCTCAAGGATAGCTTCAGTGTTCTTTTTTTTTTTTAGCTTCAGTCATTCTTGAAGGTATGAGTTGCCCCCCTGCTGCCACTATAGCTGGGTGCTTTGCTTTGTTTTTATAGTAGAGGGAAGACTTGATTATACTTCTAAACCTTGAATTAAATCATCTTTAGGCTATGATCATAAGGCCACAAAATATTGAAAAGCCTTTTGGTTTTTTTGTTTTTTGAGATGCTCTCACTGTGTAGCTCAGATTACTGACCTTGAACTCACTGTGTAACCCAGGCTACAGCAATGCTCCTGCCTCAGCTTCCTGAGTGCTGTGGTTACAGGTGTGTACACCACACCCAGCTCCTACAAAGAATGTTGAGCTTTTACTGAGCCCAGAGGTTAATGATATCTTACTGAGTAGTTGGAACTCTAACATAGTTTAGAAATCTTACAAGTTCTGTTTGTATTGTGTTTGCAGACACATATTTAGATATGACTGATTTAAAAATAAGCAACTCAGTAAATAAAGTGCTCAGTTCCTTTAATCAACACAGAATTATAACCTGCTGTTTGCTTTTCTGAACGAGTTTCCAAGATCAGAGCAAATACGTCTCTCAGAACACTTAGCTCCTTGTAATATTTTTTTCTTGGCCCATTCCCTTTACCTCCCCTGAATCTGTATGGTGCTATCGCTGCTCCGCTCAGCACCATGCTAGGAAGCTTCCTTTTTGGCAGAGATATGTTTGGCAGCAAAGCTGTAGAGACAGGTGCACGCAGAACAGCCCGGGCACCAGTTGAGAGTGTGACTGAGTGTCAGAAATCTGAAAATATGTGCTGAGACCCAAATGCATTCCAGTCAGAAAGCCCTCAGAAGAGCTCTCAGCCTCTTGGCCTCTTCTCCCTGGATTAGGTTTGCATTTCCTTTCCTGTCACTGTAAAAGATGATGAAAGCCGTCATTGATCCTCACTGCTGAGTGGCAGGGAGAGGCGGACTCCCTGGCTTCTGTCTGATGTTGTACTAGAGCTGTAAGTCTCCAGGCTCTTAGTGTGGATGTTCTTCCCTGGTAGAGCTGGAAGTCAAGGAACGCAAGTAGAGAAGCTAGATTTTCAAGGGAGAGACCTTGAGACCAGAAGCCAGATCAGCACATGGAGGAGCTTTGGAGTTAACCAGGAAGAATGTTGGTTGCACAAGGCTGTAAGTAGCACTGGCCCTAGGGATGCATGATGTGATTGCGTGTGCAGTGCTGGGGCAAATCTACTGTTGCATCAAAGTGAGAAGCCAGTTTGAGCTCAAACTCTTAGAATTTTTGGTAGATTTTATTGGAAGTATTGGAACATCTGGAAAAAACTTCTGATGAATCGCTTATGGGAATGGAGTTAGTAACATTTGTAATTTATTACACTCATTGCTTTTTATTGATTATTGTCTGACTTTTGTTCTCTACTAAGGTTCCTTAGCAGAAAAGTAACTCCCATCATATATTGAAGTGGTTTTCCAGCTATGAATTCTTTAGGGTAGAAACTCACCAATGTGAATTCTTCTGAGAAGGTATGAAGTTACATAGAAATTGACTGTGAAATGTCAGAGAAAAATAAAAAGTCATTTACTTGAAAACTATTTGGCCTATTTGATTCCTGACTGCTTAAAAATACCACATGAAATCTAGAGTAAGCATTTGAATTGATTTAAGTTCAAAATAGATACTTGTGCCATTTGGGAATATTGAGATTGGATTCTGAATGTGTGGAAATTCATCATCCATACTTTCATAGTATGGACTTAAAAAGAATGTTAACCGATATATAATTTTTTTTTTTTTTTTTTTTTTTTTTTTTTTTTTTGCGGTACCAGAGATTGAATAAGAGCTTGCCAGGCAAGTGCTTATTCTACTGAACTATCTCCCCGGCCCCCCAACCAGTCTTAAGGAAAATGAGTAGCGCGTCTCCCCAGAGCCTAGGAAGTTTATGCTGTGGAAGCTTGGAGAAGTGAGAGAATATGGCCCAGAGATTTCATGCTTCCAACCAGACATTTCAGCAGTGGAACATTTAAATGGCAAAACCACTGCAGATGTATACCGGGATGAACTAAAGCCACATTAAGTGACATTCTCCCTACAATGCGTCCTTAGTATGTCTCAGTGCATTCCTCTGTGCTTTCTAAAACTCCCTCAGCAAGGTTCACCTGGAGACTCAGCAGGGAGTTGTGGAGCCCTTTCTGCTTGCCAGGCAGTCAGAATCTCCTTCCTGGGTTTAAGATGCTGAATATACTTACCTTCATTAAAAGGCCTATGGCATTGCCACAGTCTACTTCTTATGGTATTATTTCTGTCCTATGCAGTTGTCTAAGTGACTTTCAAGTTTATGGCTGTTACGGATACTAAAAGAATGGTGCATAAAGGATGGCTAGAGAAGGCCCCTCCCAATGGGAGAACCATCTTTCCTAAGAAGTGGAGTCCAAAGAAGTGGGGAACCACAAAAGTAGATCCTAGGGGCCGGGGAGACGGCTCAGTGGAATAAGTGCTTCGCTGGCAAGTGCAAGGGCCTGAGTTCAATTCCCGGTTCTGCCAAAAAAAAAAAGTAGATCCTGTGAGTCTTCTGGGAGCCCAGTGACTCGACCTCGCAGTTCTCCATGTTCCCTGTATGAGGAAATACCTGCCTGGCTAGCAGTGCTGATTGTCAACAGGTCTACCTAAGCCACACAGTTGATGCAATTACCAGAGTGTAGTCAGATACAGAAGATTTCAAAAGGCCTCACATCTGTTATTTACTGACTGGTGGCTTTGGCTAAGGCACCTTCTCCGGATGTCACTCCTCTCAGCTAGATAATAAAGAACTAGTTATCACTAAGGTTCTTGCCAGCACTCTTATTTAGTGTCTGTCCATGTTGCAGGTAAGCCATAAACTACATTAACTTAAACCCAAAAAACTTAGGTGTTTAGGAAAGTGTTCCCAGTGCTCCAGCAAGGGGTGTGTGGGTGTGTGTGTGTATTTTATGAGCAGAATGTATTTATTGAGGGAAAGAAAGCTCCTGTCTGAGAGAGGGACAGGAGGGGGGCCTAAGTGGGCCGGAACATTTATATAAAAATGTTCTTTCTATGGGATTTTTAAGTTGTGACAGGCACCTGTGGGAGAAGTATTTCCCAGTGTACACTGGTTTTGTCTTTCTTACAGTTATCTACTTAGAGCTAACATGAGCTAATTCCCAAATTAAAAAAAAAAAAACAAAAAAACACCACAAACTGCTTTCAGACAATTTTCAAAATTTTTTCAGATTCTTTCTAAGAATTTTTATTAACCCCAAAGGAGAATAACTTGTGATTGAATCATATCCTGTCCTTTTCTGGTCAGTCATCTGCCAAGAGCCTGTTCTTTCATCTGAGATAAAGGGCCTACCTTATCTTTTGTAGAGTGTGTCAGGTTTTTATTTCCTCTCAGCCCTCCCTCCTGCAGCCAGGAATGCAGTTTCTCCCTGTGCTGTAAGGGCCCTCAGGCTGATAGCACTCTTCTGTTGTCCGTACAGCCCGCAGTGACATGGTACTGTGTGATGTCTCCATTCTGGCCCCAGTGTCTGGGTGTCACCTTCACCAATCTGGGAAGACTGATTAGAGATGAGAAGGAGCTGCCCACCTGATGAAGCACAACCTGAACTGCTGAGGAAGGCGACCTGGCCTGGCTCTTGCAGTCCTTATCTGTGCTACCTCGGTTTCCCCTACTGAAGAGGAGGAGAATCCTGTGGTACCCTTGAGGTCAGGATGCAGTGCAGGAGGACAGTATCTCAGTTTTGAAACCGCTGTGCAGAGCAAGGCAGTCTCCAGCACACACACTCAGGGATGAAGTTCAGGGGAGACTCAGGGCTGTTAACACTGTCTTCTACCAACATGTCATCCAGTTAACAGGAAAGCCCAAAGGCTGACCCGTGAGGGTTCCACTTTGCCTGGCTTTCTAGGAGAAATCTGTGGGTCCACGTGTGGCAGTCTTGGCTTTTCCTCTCAATTCCCTCCTTCATTCTCACAACACGTGGCCCCCTGTCTTTATGAAAGATGGTTATGCAAGACATTAGAGAATTGCTTGGAAGAACAGCCTACATGACTCCTGCCTCAAATTACAGCAGCTGGAGGAGAGGAGCAAGAAAGGGAGCAAAGCCTGCAGAGCACAAGTGAACACCCGAGTGGGCGGAAGCTGTTAGGAAATGAAGGGGAATAAAAACTGAAAGTAGGGTCCGGAGGCAGCCCACGCGAGAGCCCCAGTCAGGTGAGCGACTAGTGTTCAGGAGAGGCCTGTAGAGTGGCTTCAGGGCCTGGGAGTACAAATAGCTACCTTTTTTTGGTGGAACCAAGAGATTGAACTCAGACCCTCAGGCTTGCCAGGGAAGTGCTTATTCCACTGAGCCATCTCCCCCGGTCCCAATAGCTGCCTTTAATTTTCCTTTTTTTTTTTTTTTTTTGTGGAACCAGGAATTGAACTCAGGACCCTGCGCTTATCAGGCAAGCGCTTATTCTACTGAGCTATCTCCCTGGTCCCCTATATATATATATATATGAATGACAGGTTGTATAGGGTCTCACTGCATAGATTGGACTCATAGTGATCCTCCTGTTTTCAGCCTCCCAAGAGCTGGGATTACAGGCACGCACTACCATACCCAGTCTTAGTCGCCTTTTTAGCAAGCCCTGGGGGTGGGGCCTGCATGGGTCACACTCCTGCCCCCTGCCCTTCCACCTGCATCTGCCTAAGCAGGTATTTTAATCCTCTGAGCTATTTGGCCTGCCCTGCCTTTTATTTTCATGAAGATTTTCTTTATCTCAGGAGCTGCAGTAGCCTTGGAAGGATACTCATTCGTTCAGGTGAATGGCCTGGGACAGAAGAGAACTAGGGGCCTCCTCTGAGATCAGCCCACAAGCTTTGCTTGCTGGGTGGGCATGGCCTGAGGCCTGCCCTTCGTTTGGGCTGACAGTAAAAAACCAGATGCCCTTAAGAATCAAGATTTGTTGCTTCTAGATGGGAAACCACACCGTCTTAGTGGAGAGCTGGATTGAAATCACTGCCTGCACTTACCTCTCCTACAAAGAAGAAACTGCCCTAGGAGAGGCGAGGGAGAGCTTGGCTTCCTGTTACTTTCTGAAGGCCCCCTGGAATGAACTGTCAATATAGGAGAAAGGGCATATAATTTATTAACATGCATGAAGGAAAATCACAGGAGCTGATGCTGCTAATCTTGTGAGACTCAGATGGTTGCTTGCCCTTCCTTGTAGGGGAGAGGGAAATGGGAAGAGGTAGGCTAGCTCACGGGGGAATGTGGG